AGAAATTGGAATTTTTTAGACTTATAACGAAATTAAAAATATTTACAAAATGATAATTAATGTTTAATTAAATTTATTCCAAATTTAATGTCAATTTCTTCAAAATTGTTCATTACATTAAGATAAAAAATATTGAAAATAAAAATAAAATTAATAAACAAAAATTTATAAAATCAATAAAAATAATTTCTATTGTTTAAATTACTTCTAGCATCTTAAAAAATTTAATCAAAAATTTTTTTGCTGTTATGAATACAAGTTACGAATAGTAAAAAATTTTATTCCTATTTCGTTTCATTTTGCTCCTTATATTTCTAGCAATAGATTATATTATAATCGCAATACAATTATTCATTTTTAATGATTTTTTTTAAACAATTTCATTAAATTAATAAAGATTAAATTAATAAATCATTTCGAACAAAAGTTATTCAATATTCAATTGACAAAGAATTATAATAATTGGTAAAAAATTATTTTAAAAAATATCAAAGTAATCCTTTTTTTTTAACGAAACTGTATATTTTTGTATATATCAGTCGATATATTCTTGTATTTTTTTCAGTAGCATTAATTAAAATAGTATTAGTTAGTTTCGCATCGAAAATTGATTAATTCATTGGTTATAATTAAAATTATAATTTTTATCCTGAAATGTCTACATGTGCGATTGGAAGAATGGTGACAAGAATAAAATTGAGAAGTCGCGAATCATGGCCATGGTTTGCCAAATAAAGGATGTCTTGAAATCTGAATTTTCTTAAGGCGACATTTGACAGGTGGGAATAACGGAACAATGACGTCACTCGACGCACAACGTGGGCTTCGATTATAGCAAGGCTACGAGATCCGAGTAGATCTTATTTTCAATACGATTCTTAGAGCGGATAAACATGTGTCTTGTGATTTGATTTTCTGCATAATTTGAAAGAGAGAGAAATTCATTGAAGATGGATTTACATATATATTATTATATTGAATAATATCTAATAATGTAATGTAATATTTATTGATCAGTTACAAAAATATAAATAAACACACAAAATTCTAACCTAATTTTATTTTGACAAATATAAAAAATGGTAGTTAATGAAAAATGAAAAAAAATGATAGTTAATGAAGTGAAAGCAGAAAGAGAAAGAATAGAACAAAGAAATAATGGAAATAAATTATAAAATTAAATAATGGAAATAAGATATTTATAGTATTTATACTATATATGTACATTAATATACACATCTTTAGAAATCGATTATAAACATAATTGAGGTTTCTTTATTAAATAATTAATTAAA